GGGGGGGGGGGGGGCAGTGAGCTTCATCACCAAGAGACATTGGATAAAGCTGAAAAGAAAAGGAAATTAGTTTCTAGTATAATGCAAGGATGGCATTAACTTCTAGTTTCAGAGTAAATCATTGTTCAGAGTAGGAAAACACAACGTTTGACCTATATTTGTTTGCGAAGACATAGACCTTCATATGAAAGTTGCACACACAATTACACTAGATGAAGATATGTTCACAAATAAACTTACTAGATCCATCAGCGTTGGCGGGTTTGCAAAAAATCAATAACAACAGCAACAACAAAGGTCTAGCTAGTTGAGGTCGGCATATGAATCCTCATCATCCATTTCGCTCTATTTGGGCCAGGTCTGCGAAACTTCAATTCAGCAGCTGGAAAAAAACCTTTGTCACGATGTTTCCCATAACCGAGCACTTGATCTTTTATCATTCACCATAGCAGTTCTTTTCAGGAACAAATCTTTAGGCACATCCCTCGCCAGCTATAGGAATAATTTATCTTTCCATTACCTTCATTATCAACTCAAGGAAACATCATTCAAATACCGGACATTGAGCAGCATCTAAGTCTCTTCTCCCACAGGTGCACAGAGGGGTGATAGAGGAGTCGTAACACCATCTTTGTCAAGCTGTCCGCTAGCCCCAGTTTGATATTCCAAACTGAAAGAAAAAACAGAAAATCAGGTTTAACATCTTTTCTCTTTTAGGATAAAAAATGAATCAGATTTGAGACAACCAGAGTGGATAATTTTTTTTGAAACCAAGTGGATAGAACTTTTGAGAAGGGATGACCAAATGGATAAACTATAGCATAGTTATTATAAGCAAGAATTCACACTCGCATCAGACTTTCCATATCCTCATTATTCACATGAAAATGTGACAACAGAACTGAGAGTGAACAAACTTAAAAATGTAAAAGCATGATAAACTTTAAATAGCTTCAGAATCATCATTGAGCTAATGACAAAAATGTTGCACTGAGAAAAGCAGTCTGGAAACTAAGGATGTTCTAAATCAATTGAAAATTGGGTATAGACAAGCAAGAATGCTGTCACTGGTAACTTGGCCTTTTTGGTGAGAGAGTAAAATTTCTGAATGAAAAGCAAGACTTCAGGAAGTGAAGAAAGGACAGTAGACTTCAGGAGAGGCACAGTATTGAGGGCTCATTGCAGTTCAGAAGGCAATACTGGCAAAAAGTAGGAGGCAGATATGGAAGCCAGAAGGTTAGATGTCGATTTTTGGAAGAATTTTTCTAGATTAACAATGACACACAAAGTCAAAATAGTTGATTCTAAATCCAGATTCCAGCATCAATTTATTTTCATTCAACAAGAGAAACTACATACGAGCTTATCAAGTCCAGAACAATTTGATGATTTTCAACGGGAGAAAGACGTTCTTCAACAACAAAGAAGTTCAAATTCAAGAAAGGTCTCCAAAGTTGATTCAAAACTAAAGACAGAAGAGCAAAAGTCTTTAGAAAGTACGAATGAAAATAATACTAAAACTTAAAAAAGCAAACTATACCAAGTAAGAAGTACATACCATTGTTCACAAATCTTGCAAATTGCCATAGAAACTGCAGCTTCATGATGTGGTTTCCAATTCCAATATTGGGAAGCATCATCGGTTCTAAATGATCAAGCTTCTTTAGAATCTGATAAACTTACTAAAGCCACATTGGTTCTTTCAGTAGGTTCTTCTGTTGTCCTTTCCAAGCTTGTTTACCTTTCGTAAATTAAAAAAGGGCAGTTTGGTGCACAAAACATCACACACTCACGCAGGGTCAAGGGAAGGGCCGCACCCCAAGGGGTTGTGATGTAAGCAGCCACCCTGATTCAAGCATCAGTAGCTGATTCCACGGCTTGAACAACCTATAGGTTACACGGAAACAACTTTACCGTTGCTGAAAAGTTCCCCTTCACCTTTCATAAATTGATCGAGAAAAATTTCTATGCTGGTAATCATTTAGTTTCTTGCTCTTTCATCAAATTGGCTATACAATTGCCTTGTTGACTAACTTGAAGGACCCACAAGGACCATCCTCAACTAGTTCGTAAGAGCTGTCATTTTCATCATTATAAGCCTTACTTCTACGTATGTAGTCATAGGTAATGTACATGAGGAAGTCTAGAAAGAGACTCTTTCCTGTTGTTTCTGTACAACATTCTGTGTTTTCTTGTATATAGTGAGAAGCATTGTCCAAAATTTTATATGTTATTTCATCAAACTCAAAACCAATTTCGCGCAACTTCTGCCCCCACATCAACGCCCGCTGAGGTAGTCCCTGCTTCCATAGGTGAGAAAGTAGTAAGTTAGCTGTAACTGTGTTTGGGATGAATGCCATCTTAAGCAACTTTGCTGCCAAAATCATTGCACGGTCCAATATGTCATTGCAAGCACTATTCATCATAGTGTTATATGTAACGGTATTTGGCACCACTCCAGCAGATACAAGCTCATCCAACATCATAACTGCTCGATTTATCCTCCTACTACTACAGAAACCATGAAGCTTTATATTGTAGGTTGTGATATCAGGTTCCCATCCACTGGCATACATTCTTGTCATAAAGTTATCCGCATTGACCATGTCGAATGCTTTGCAGAATCCGTTGATCAAGGTGTTATATGTAACAATATCAGGTTGTATACCATTTCGTTGCATTTCCACAAAACTGTCAACAGCTAATCTCATTCTTCCCTGTTTGCAGAAACCATTGATGATGGTATTAATTGTAAAGACATCCGGGAGAAGACCCCTATCCCTCATGTCCCTCTCTAGTTTCTGAGCTTCATTCAGTTTTCCGCTATTACAGAAACCAGTAATTAGCGAATTATAAACAAAATTATTTGGCACAAGCCCTTTCCTAGTCATCTGGAAAAAGGCACCATACGCATCTTCAACAGATCCTGCTTTAGCAAGCCCATCTATCAATGCAGAAAAAGCAACAGAATCAGGAGCGATTCCCATCATTTCCATTTCTTCCCACAATATTCTAGCTCCTATTACATCCCCTTTCTTAAAATACCCATCCAGAAGCACAGTGAAAGCAGTTCTATTAACAGGGAAGGACATTGCAATCATCTTAGCCATTAAATTTCTCGCTTCTTGCAGCCTCCCTGTCGTTGCCAAACCCATGAGAAGGGAAGCACACGTGGAAGCTGAAGGAGTCTGACCAAACTGAACCATAATATTATAGACTTCAAATGCTTTTTCTTCTAACCCTTCTTTGCTGTAAGCAGCAATAATGGAATTAAAAGCTATTACACTAACAGGTATCCCCTTCTCAAGCATACTATCCAACAATGTTACAGCCTCGTTCAACCTTCCTGCCCAACACAATCCTGCAATTGATACATCAGAGAATAAACAATCTGGAAAAAGTCCTGTCACTGTTAGGTCCCATAATAATCGGTCGCCATCCTCTTCCCTACCATACTTATAGTGACCTGCCACCAAAATGTTAAGAGTTATAGCATCTGGAACTACACCCTTCTTTTTCATTTCTTCATATAGCATATTTGCTTGATAAATTTCCCGTGCTTTAACGTAGCCATCCATCAAAGCATTATATGTGATGGTGCTAGGAAAGACACCCACCTCTTGCATTCCATCAAACACTTTTCTGGCTTCCATCATGTTGCCTTCTTTGCATAAGGCATTAATTACCGTACTAAAGGTAGAGATACTTGGATTACATCCATGATCAATCATCATATGCACCCAGTGCAATGCATCTGAAGTCCATCCTCTAATACAGTATGCATTGATCAAAATATTATATGTAAAAACATCTGGCTCACATCCAAACTTCCTCATGAGATGACATAAACTCTCTCCCGTTCGAAGACTGCCTTTTCTACAATATCCAAGAATCATTACATTAAAGAGATTGTTAGTAGGATGAGGCCCTTTATGCAACATATCCCGAAATAACTTCCAGACACTACCATAATCACCAATCCTAAGCAACAACTTAAATAAGATGCCGATAGCTGAAGAACTCGGCCACAACCCACAGTCTCTCATCTTACTCAAAATATCTAATGCAGCCGAAACCATTTCTGCGGTTAAAAAAGCCCGCATTAATGAATCAAGAACCGAAAAGTCACACTCATACTTATAATGCTCCCTCCACATGAACTCCACAATCTCGTCACTCCTACATTTTCCAATCCTCCTAATGATCCAAGATATCATATCCTGTGCCAATAGCCTCAACTGTCCAGCAGCCAATAAATGCGCACTAATACAACATGACTTCACTGTACTCTCAGAATAATCTTGAAAAACATACTTAAAGAATGCAAATGCAACTTCCCTATTACCAATCAACTTCATAATTTTTACCAAAAAAGATGGGCAAAAATCTCTTGAAAATGCTTCCAAAATGTAACCTTTTTCATTTTTTATCATTCTTGATAACCCCACAACAATTTTACGCCTCTCATTTGAGGTAATGACAGTGTAAGTAGAAGAGTTTGCTAAATTCTTAAAAGGGGAAAACTGTTCAAGAAAATCAAATCCATTTTCAGAATTTAATGAATTTGAACTGCAATATGAGCTTTCAGTAGAAAAGCTGGTAACTTTAGGGTTTAGGACTTTGTGTGGTGGTGTGAGGAAGTGTAAAACTAGCAGTTGTGAAGTGTGCAAGGATGTTGGAAACAGGGTAAAATGACCCACCTTGTAATTGATGCGCATACGGCGTAAAGTAGCACACATCCGGAAATTCACCGGAGATGACGTTGGGGATGATTTTCCCGGCAAAGCTAACGGAGTTTTTGAAGGTTTTGACGTGCACAGCGCAGCAAAATCTTCAGTGACAATGTACCTTGACTAAAATGTTAACATTGGACTTGTTCAGCAAAGTCAGATGGGCCAACCCAACTAGTTCCCAGTAAAGAAGTTGGGCTTGTCTGCAACCGAAAAAAGTCCAGAATGTATTGTTTGAAGGGACAATGACACAGTTACCCACAAAAATAAAATTATTTATTATTGTCTATTCATTTATTTTTTTACCCATAAACTAATTATATTTCTTATTTATAGTGGTTTTGTGGAGAATTTTTTCTTTATTATCTAATTATTTTTTATTTCTATGCTTCTTTTCTTTCTTTTTTTCCTTTTTTTTTCTTTCTCCTTTTTTTTTTTTCTCGTTTTCTTCTTATTTCTTTCTTTTTTTCCTTTTCTAATTTCATTTAAATTTTTTTATTATATTTTTTTTCTCTTCATAATCTAATTTCATTTACTTGTTTCACTATTTTTTATTATTCTCTTTTTATACTATTACTAAAGAAAAATTAAATTGTGTACCAATTAAATGTAGCTAATACAATAAAAATTAACTAATATATGATACCAGTATAGTATATTGCTATACCAACAAGGTATACAATTGTACGCAAAGAGTTAAAAAAAATTAATTCAATTATTAAACTGAAATAATATCAATTTTCAATAAAAATTTCAAAAAATTCTAAAAGGATCTAATTGTAAGAGTATACCATTACATTATATAGCATACTATAATTTTTTTTAAAACAATTTTGCCCCTCACGCTGGGTAAAAGCTTAAAGCAAATTAAAAGGGAAAATGCAAGTGAATTTACGAGTAATAAGTATACTATTATAGTATATTGCATATTATTACAGTATACTATAACAATATATTGTATACTATAATAGTATACTGTTGCAGTATAACTATATACTCCTATAGTATATTGTATACTATAGCGGTATACTGTTAGGTAACTGTGTTCTTCTTCGATTATTACAATATTCCATTGCAGTATATTGTAAACTATAATAGTATATTGTTGCAGTATAGCTATATACTCCTACAACATATTGTATACTGTAGCGATATACTATTGGGTTGTTGTATTCTTCTTCGATTTTCAGCTGAAAATTTCGGTCTCAATCACATCAAATCAGCTCCAAATGCTATCAAATTGCAGTATGAACTTTCAGAAGGTACTATAAGCAATATTTAACAGCACCCACTTTGAATTAAACAAGAAATTTTCAAAAATAAAATTGAGCTTCAAGCCCAATGATGGTGGATATTCAAATACACATAAAAATTTAGATCTGGGAAGTTTACTCGAAGATACTATAAACAATATTTTATAGCACCCACATCGAATCAAATAATAAATCTTCAAAATATAATTTCAAATTCTGGAGCTTCAAGCTCAACAATGATGGGTCTTCATACACACATAAAAATCATAAGAAGAGGAGGTAGAACAATAGCTTGGGTTGACCCTCTTAATTAAGACCGATCTAGCAGAGAAGAAGTAGATCCATTTAAGTCCACTATCAAGTAAGCTAGCAAAAATGAAGTCAGATGTTTTAACATTATGTACTTCGAATGCGAAGGCAAATAGCTGTGGGTCGGGTAAATAATCTTGGTTGCATAGGTAGGAAAAGTAAATAGTTTAGGTTTGGGTATTTAAGGGTAAATAGTTTGGGTTTAATGGGTATAAAGTGAGATTTTCTCTTGTTGAATGCCAAAAATAGGACACTTATGAGCATCTATTGATTTTTTTTATACGGATAACAAAAGTTTGAAGAAAAAAAAATCCTTTAGAATTTTAAAGTTAGCTCGCCAAAATTTTAAAGCACGCAACAGTTATGGTGATCGTTAGGATTTTGCCATAAATTATGACGGATCACCAGAATTTTTCAGTATCGTGGCTGAAAATTCTAGTGATCGTCATAATTTCTGGTGCTTCAAAATTTTGGCTAGAAGTATTTTAAAATTTTGAGCAGAGCTATTTTTCCAAATATTTTCTTAATGAAGTCAAAATATTGACAACAGTTTAAAAAAGGTTTGTCCAGTATAATTTAAAAAAAAAATCTAATTGTGTAGTTTAGGCAGAGTGTCGAAGGTCCAACTATAGTCTACAGTTTATATAATAATAATCATGAGGTCATTTAGATTCAAACCCATACAATATAGTTTAAATTTCATTCTCTTCACCATCCCGGTGTTTCTTTGAAACTATAAGTTAACTAAGTCAAAATTTTCATTTATATAACTTCTCTTTTAAAAGCGAAATTGTGGTTGAGCCAAATAGCTGATGGGCTGGTCACGACCAACTGGCTCATTTAATTATTTGGGAGATTTTTACATGGTTGGTCTTTTTTAAGGAACTATTAGCATAAACAACATGCCTTTCAAATTATTTTAAAACTAGCAGTTTAAATTACATTCATAGCATATCTCAATAAATGCTTGTATCTAATATCCCAGTAATTAATAAGTTAAAATCCCTATAATTTAGAGGTAAATCCCCCTTTCTCGCCTCCTTAACCTACAGCCGTCGAAAGCCCAATTCTTTCCCTCTTCTCTTCCTCTCTCTATTGCCTCTGCACCTTCACAAAAACAACCTCCCTATTGTAACGATCCGAATGGTCATTTTACTTTTTAGAATCCCGTTTCCCTAAATAAGACTTTCCACAATTGTTTTTACTGATTTATGACTTGCGAGAATGGTTGGTTCGGGATTTAGAAGAGTTTTGGTTGAAATCGGAACACTTGGTTCCTTAAGGTTGGCTTAAAATGCCAAATTTGACTTCGGTCAACGTGTTGAGTAAACGACCTCGGAATCCAAATTTGAAGGTTCCAACAAGTTCGTATGATGATTTCGGACTTGGGCATATGTCCGGATCAGGTTTTGGATGACTTGAGAGCTTTTGGCGCCTAATAGTGAAAGTTGATTCCTTAAGAATTTTGAAGTTCTTAAATATTTGGTTTGGAGAGGGTTTTTGTGTTATCGAGGTCTGAACGGAGTTCCGAGATCGGGAATAGTTCCGTATTATCATTTAAGAGTTGCACACAAAATTTGGTGTCAATCCGAGTAGTATAAGTGTGTTTCGTCGCATTAGATGTAAATTGAAGAACTTGAAGTTCATAAGTTTGGATCAATTGGTTTTAGGGGGTGATTCTTGGATTTAGCGTTGTTTCGGGCGTTCCGAGGGTTCGAGCGAGTCTGTTTTGTGATTTCAAACTTGTCGGTATGTTCAGACGGGGCCCAAGGGCCCTGAGCATCAATCAAACGAGGCTCGAGTGAAGTTGAAAAGTTTTGGAAGGACCTGAAGCTCCTGGTATCTATCATAACCGCACTTGCAGTTGGTCAGCTGCAGGTGCGAGACCGTAGAAGCGGTCCAGCCTTCGCAAGTGCGGACCAGAGGAGGAGCCTAGGAACCGCAGATGCGACTCCTCTTATGCAGAAGCGGAACCGCAGGAGTGGCCCCCAGACCGCATAAGCGGTCCCAGCTAGCCCAGCCCAACTCCGCAGATGCGGACGTTCTCTCGCAGAAGAGAGACCGCAGATGCGATCCCTTAACCGCAAGTGCGGAAATCGCTAAAGGCAGTGCCTTCATTTAATATAGAAATGTATCATTTTTGACACATTTATTCATTGTTTGGGCGATTTGTGAAATTTGGTGTCAATCCGAGTAGTCCAAGTGTGTTTCGTCACATTAGATGTAAATTGAAGAACTTGAAGTTCATAAGTTTGGATCAGTTGGTTTTAGGGGGTGATTCTTAGATTTAGAGTTGTTTCGGGCATTTCAAGGGTTCGAAAGAGTCCGTTTTATGATTTCAAACTTGTCGGTATGTTCGGACAGGGCCCAGGGGCCCCGAGTGTCAATTAGACGAGGCTCGAGTGAAGTTGGAAAGTTTTGGAAGGAGCTGAAGCTCCTAGTATCTGTCATAACCGCACCTGCAGTTGGTCAGCTGCAGGTGCAAGACCGCAGAAGCGGTCCAGCCTTCGCAAGTGCGACCCAGGGGAGGAGCCCAAGAACCGCAAATGTGGCTCCTCTTACGCAGAAGAGGAACCGCAGGAGTGACCCCCGGACCGCAGAAGCGGTCCCAGTCAGCCTAGTCCAACTTCGCAGATGCGGACGTTCTCTTGCAGAAACGAGACCACAAATGTGATCCCCTAACCGCAGGTTCGAAAATCGCTAAAGGCAGTGCCTTCATTTAATATGAGAATGTGTCATTTTTGACACATTTATTCATTGTTTGGGCGATTTGGAGCTTCCAAAGAGGGATTTCAACCTAGAACTTGTAAGGTAAGTTACTTCTACTTAATGTGAGTTCAATACTTGGTTTATGGGAAGATTAACACACAAAAATTAGTCAAAATTATGGGATTAGAGTAAAACTTAGGATTTTGATAAAAACAAGATTTTACTACGAAATTTGTTATGGAATAAAGTAAAAAATATATATTCTTGATCCTTAGGTTATGGGCTACAACTTTCCTCAAAAATTTCCGAAATCCGGGCATGTGGGCCCGGGGATAGATTTTAGGAAACTTGTATTTAGGGTTGGAAAATTACTTTAATAGTTAGAATATGAACTCTTGAGCTTGTATTGACTAATTCTTACCCTATTTAATTAGTTTTGGATCGTTAGGCTCCAAATTGAGGGTTTGAGCACATTCTTGATATTGGAAATAAGCTTTGGAGCGAGGTGAGTCTCCTTTCTAACCTCGTAAGAGGGAAATAAATCCCTAGGTGAATCTAATAAATGTATGTGATTATCTGTGGGGGCTACGTACGTACGGGGTGACGAGAGTCCGTATATAGCTACTATCATGCTAATTGTCCGGATAGGTTAGGACCTGTATCATGCCATACTTGCAAATACGTATGTTCTTACTTGCAAATGAGATCACTTAGGACATGTTAGGGATTGAAAATAAATATAAACAAACGTATGCACTTACTTGAGAACTGGTATGAATTTATTTGACTATAAATGAGCCTTTATGTGCCTTCTTGATAATAATTGATATTTGTGGATCGGCCGATTGCCTCGGTAGAAATAGATGCATCTATGGTTCGCGCCATTCGACTCTCTGGCAGTGCATAGTTATTATTATGTTGGACCAGGCCGTACGACCTCGGCATAATGTGCACATGATATATATATGGGAATAACTCCATGATTTACTCTGTTTAAATGTTTGAAGTGCAAATTATTATATGACATAGCTGAAATTGATTTATCGTTTCCTTCTAAATTTTGAGATTTGTTATTATATTCATACTAATCATGCTTAGTGTAGGACTTACATATTATTATTGATATTGACCTTAGTAAGTGTCAAGTCGATCTCTCGTCACTACTTCTTCAAGGTTAGACTGGATACTTGTTGGGTACATGTTGTTTATGTACTCATACTACGCTTCTGTACTTAACTATACAGGATCTGAGGAAGTTGCATCTAGTTACCCCTCTGGCGCGCGTTCCTGACTCCTGATCGAGATCCCACAGTGAGCTACCCCTTCTGAGCCGTTCTGTCGCATACCGGAGTTCTCTTCATTTGTAGCCAATTATGTACTATTTACTTTGTTTCAGGCAGTAGGATAGTGGTATTTTGTATATTCTACTAGTTGCCCTAGTGCTTGCGATACTAGTTCCTGGCACACACTGAAGACTATCATTTTGGGTTGCATTTCTATTATTATGAAACTGTTGATTTTTGATCTGCTAAAATATAAGTTAAGTAAATATTGAAAATGTTTAAATAAAACAATTGAGAACTCGCTAGTTAATTAGGATTGGCTTGCCTAACAACGGTGTTGGGAGCTATCACGACCTATGATGGAATTTGGGTCGTGATAACATGGTATTAGAGCACTAGGTTCACGTATGTCTCACAAGTCATGGGAAAACCTAATAGAGTTTTGCAGATCGGTGCAGAGACGTCTGTATTTATCTTCGAGAGGCTATAGGGTGTTAGGAAACCGCTCTTTATTCATTTCTTATCGTGCAGTGGTTGGTATACTAAATTGCCTTATTTCTATTCTCTCACTGATGGTGAGGACGCGCACGACATATGTTCCAGACCCGGGAGGAGCTGCTTCCCCCCCCCTTGCTAGAGGCCGAGGCAGAGGTAGAGGGAGGGCACTGGCCCAAGGTAGGGGACAAAGGAATTCCAAAGCTGTTCCAGTAGCACCACCGATGGATCCTACGGGGGATCCTATCATTGAGGAGCAGGGCAAGGTGCCCGCAGCTGAGCCTACCCCGACGGACTTCATAACAGCATCGGGCTTCCATGAGGTCATGGGTCATATGTTGCGGTTCATGGACACCATGACACAGGCTGGTTTATTTTTAGTATATCCAGCTACATCCCAGGCGGGAGGGGGAGCACAAACCCCTACGGCTCAGGCTCTTGGTCATGTAGCTGTAGTGTATCAGACTCCAGGTGCACTACTTATGGATGGGGCTCAGCCAGTTACTGCAGTGGTACCCGAGCACAGACCAACTGCAGATGGCGATCCGCAGAAGTTATTGGACAGATGGACTAGGCTATACCCTCCTATCTTCGGGGGTGAGCGTCATGAGGATGCCAAGGATTTCATTGATAGGTGTAGGGACAAACTGTACAATATGAGGATATTGGAGTCTCATGGGGTTGACTTCACTACTTTTCAGCTAGAGGGCAGGGCCCGTAAATGGTGGCAGTCTTATGTTCTGGGTAGGCCAACAGGTTCTCCTCCTATCACTTGGGGTCAGTTCACAGAGTTATTCCTGGACAGGTGTTTTCCACCCTCTAAGAGGGAAGAGCTGCAGTATCAGTTAGAGCAGCTTGAGTAGGATCAGATGTTAGTGACCGACTATGAGACAAGGTTTTCTTAGTTATCCCGCCATGCAGTAATGATACTTCTTACTGACGCATAGAGGGTGCGGATGTTCGTTGCAGGGTTGCATTCTGGCATTAGGGCCAACATGGCCCGAGAGATGGAGATGAGGACTCCTTATCAGCTAGTGGTGGAGATTGCACGGAGGATTGAGGGCTACCATCTGAGAGGTAGGGAGCAGATGCAGCAGGACAAGAGGGCTAGATTCTCGGGAGAGTTCAGAGGTGCCTTAACTAGGGGCAGGGGTCAGTTTGGGAGGGGTCAGCCTAGCAGGCCCCCACATTTAGCACCACCACCTCCTCGAGGTGCTCCAGCGCCATACCAGAGAGTTCTTACCACCCGCCAGCTATTCAGGGTTCCTCCAGTGGGTATTCAGGTCCCTAGGGTTCTTCTGGTTCCTACTTCAATGCTATGCGTGAGAGTTCATACCGTCCACCGGCTATTCAGGCTTTTTCCAGTGGGTCTACAGGCCATCAGGGTCAGACATCAGGGCAGCAGGTTGCCACACCGCAGGGTTGTTTTGAGTATGGAGATCTTGGTCATATGAGGAGATACTGCCCTAGGCTTTAGGGCAAGGCAGTACAGTAGAGTCAGCAGCCCATGATTACAACACCGGTTGCTCAGCTGCCTAGAGGCGGGGGATAGACTGGTAGGGGCTGTCCTAGAGGTAGAGGCCAGATAGGGAGAGGTTAGCCAGCTACTGATCAGTCAGGTGGAGGCTAGCCAGCTGGTGCTCCAGCCAGATTCTATGCCTTTTCGGCCAAACCAGATATATCAGCCTCATATGCCATTATCACAGGTATTATTTTCATATGCGGTAGAGATGTTTCAGTGCTGTTCGATCTAGGGTCTACCTATTCATATGTGTCATCTCTGTTTGCTCATTTCTTGGATGTTCCTCGTGAGTCCTTGGGTACTCCCGTTCATGTGTTCACTCTTGTGGGCAATTCTGTGGTTGTGGATCGGATCTACCAGTCATGTGTGGTCACATTCTGTGGTTTCGAGACTAGAGCATATCTTCTGTTGCTTGATATGACCGACTTTGAGGTCATCCTAGGCATGGATTGGTTATCCCTATACCACGCTGTCCTGTATTGCCATGCCAAGACTGTTATTTTAGCATTGCTAGAGTTGCCAAGGTTAGAGTGGAAGGGTTCCTCAGTTAGTACATCTAGTCGGGTGATCGCTTTTCTGAAGGCTCGATATATGGTCGAGAAGGGTTGTTTAGCTTATCTAGCCTATGTTCGGGACACCACCGCAGAGTCTCCGATGATTGATTCAGTACCAATAGTCTGGGAGTTTGCCGATGTATTTCCTTCTGACCTTCCTGGCATGCCACCGGATCGTGATATTGATTTTTGCATTGATTTAGCTCCAGGTACCCAGCCTATATCTATTCCACCGTACCCTATGGCTTTGAAAGAGTTGAAGGAGTTGAAGGTGCAGCTTGAGGAGTTGTTAGCAAAGGGGTTTGTTAGACCAAGTGTGTCACTTTGGGGTGCACCAGTGTTGTTTGTAAAGAAGAAGGATGAGACCATGCGGATGTGCATTGATTTCCGCCAGTTGAATTAGGCTACCATCAAGAACAAGTACCCGTTGCCGCGCATTGATGATTTTTTCGACCAGTTACAGGGTGCTAGGGTGTTCTTTAAGATCAACTTGAGATCAGGGTACCATCAGTTGAAGATTCGGAACTCAGATGTTCCGAAGACTACTTTTCGTAC